ATAGAAGGGGTTTTATCCTCTATGAGGTGCATTTATATCCTTTGTTTTAAACATGCATGGATTCATTTGTTTCAGCTTGTTTTCATCTTTAGTTTTTTTATGTTTTAGTATGTAGAACTTTAACGGATTTCCTAAACTCAGATCTGTGTACAAAGGTATAGACAGAGAAGTGTCACTCCCTCCTATATCCCTGCTACCCTGACCCTGTTCTCTCCCCTGTCCCTTGTAGATAGATAGGCAGTGTGGGTTTTTTGGTTTATCTTTCCTATGTTTCTTTTTGTATTAATAAATAGATGTACACATTTTTTAATTTTCCCTTTATTCTTACACAAAAGATAGCATATTATATTCTTTTAACACTGCTTTTTTTCACTTAATATATCTTTAGAAATCATTCCCTGTCAGTTCGTAGAATTCTTTCTTGTTTTATAGATGTGTAGTATTACATTGTATATATCCTAATTTATTCAATCACATGCTTAGATAGGTTAGTTTTCATTATTTTACAATTACCAAAAAATATTATAATGAATAACCTCATGCATATGTGTTTTCATATTGTGTGATATATCTTTAGATTACATTTGTAAGTAAATTGCTGAGTCAAACATTATTTGCATATGTAGTTTTGTTAGATCCTGTTTATCCACTTCTTTTTGAGACAGGGTCTCACTCTGTCACCCAGGCTGGAGTGCAGTGGCATGATCTCTCCTTACTGCAACCTCTGCTTCTAGGCTCAAGCGATTCTCCCACTTCAGCCTCCCAAGTAGCTGGGACTACAGGCCTGCGCCATCATGCCCTGCTAATTTTTGCATTTTTTTGTAGAGACGGGGTTTTGCTATATTGCCCAGGCTGGTCTCGAACTCCTGAGCTCAGGCGATCTGCCTGCCTGGGCCTCCCAAAGTGCTGGGATTACAGTCATGAGCCACCACGCCTGGTCTTATCCACTATTTTTTAAGAACCTGGAACTTCAAGGAGCAAACATTCATAGGCGAAATCATCTATAGGTATAGCAGTTTGGAGATTAAAATGTCTTCAATTGATAAAACTCTCAAGCATAAGGTTTTTAAAACTTTTTCTAAAGAGTAGAAAGATACACCTTACATAGTCTTCTGGAGGATGAATTCAGGTGATATTTTCTTAACATCCTATTGAAGATCCCATTTGTAAAAACAAGGGATCTTTTCTTCCTGATACTTGCCTTTGTCAGTAGAGCTGCAGGAAAAATTTTTGGAACTTAAAATGGCTTCTCTTGCCAAAGGTAACCTCCAAAAAATCACTTTGTAGATTTCCAAAGTAGAGTATCTTCTTATTTACCTGCAAATAAGGGAGCAGGTTTCAACTGGTATTTTCCTATTTTACTGACAAATATCTGAGAAAGTATTCCCAGGCTACCTTGTCCCCCAGCTTCTAGCTGGGAAAATCTAGTAGCGCCTTAGGCTTGAATTAGAAAGTGTCTCACCATGACTCCTCCCTTCTTTCAACATTTAATGTGTTTCTCTAAATGCACACAAGTCTCCTAGTAAAGTGTCATATTTTGAGGATATTCTATTCCTTAGTTATGATTTGGGCTTGGTTTAGCTTTGAGTATGATGTTCCACAGTGAAGCATGTGATTCCAGCACACATGCATGCATGTGCACGTGCGCATACACACACAAAATGAACATTTAAAATGAAGATTAAACATATACAGACATAGTCTTCTAATATAATGAAGTTACATTTAGTAAGTAGATGAAATTGATTTCAAATGCTGGGAAGAAAGATTTAAGATTTTACAGAAAAATTCAAAGGCCACTGAGCATGTGATTATTTGGGTAACTTGGGATATTATAAGCTTTCAAAAGAATTGTCAAAGAATTAAACACAAGACTTTCTAAAAGAGCTATAAAAAACTCAGCATTTAATATTTTTCTATATTTGGGTCATTGGAATGTTTTCGTTGCTGATTCTTTTAACCATTATTCAGATAACATTAAAAGGATATTTAAAGTTTTTACATTTATTAAAAGGGAGACTAGGATTTTAGGAAAACAACAGTCAAAAAACAAGATTTGGTGTGAAAAAGTAATACCCTGTGCCTCAGCTGACCTGAGAGTAAGCCTCTCCTCTGCTGCTGACTTTGGGTCGTTTGCTGCTTTTAAATCTCAGCTTCCTCATCTGGAATATGAGAATTATTTGCTGTGACTCCCTCATGGGATTGTGGTTCTAACAGTTAAATGAGACATGGAATTCACAAGTACTTTGTAGAATGTAAATTGCTATGCAGTTTTCTTAATGAGGAGCCACATAATGTGAGATAAAGACTTGTGAAAATTTAGCATCTTTTAAAACTGTTTTACCTGAATCTCCTCTTCTGAACTAATAAGAAATGGAAGAACTTTTGCTTTTTCCCCTGCTTAAGGGTACAAGCCCCTTGTTAAAAATTGGTGATCCTTGAAAATGGCACAACCCCTTGAGTTTCAGTTCTTTGGATTGGATCAAAATTGTTTGTTTGTTTTAACCTTTAAGTTGAGGAGTACACATGCAGGTTTGTTACATAGATAAACTTATTCATGGTGGTTAGTTGTACAGTTTATTTCATCCCCCAGGCATTAAGCCTAGCATCCATTAGTTATTTTTCCTGATTCTCTACCTCCTCCCACCTTCTACACTTGAAAAGGCCCTCGTGTATGTTGTTCCTCTCTTGTGTGTCCATGTGTTCTCATCATTTAGCTCCTACTTATAAGTGAGAACATGTAGTATTTGGTTTTCTGTTCCTGTGTTTGCAAATAGCTTTCGTCATGAACTTTCCTGGTAGTTAGGCAAGCCAGTCTCCAGTCTGGGGAATAAATGTGGGCTGGGTTTGTGCTGACCTGGTTGGGGACATGTGAAGGGTGAAGAGTATTCAAGAAGGATGCAGGCAGATTTAGCAATCAGCACTGGCTGGTTTGTGTGCTTGATCACCCCTCTGAACAAGGTCATCCAGCTTCCCTCTCTTCCCCTTACTTTCTACTAACTCTCCTGACGGGAAATAACCACAGTTGGCTCTTTTCTTGTCCCCCACCTTCTGTCACTTGCCAAGACTTCCTAGTTCTATTCCTGTTAGGCCTTTTAAAGCATTTTCAGCCTTGAAAGGCTTTAGTCCCTCTTTCCTGGACCTGCTGTCATGGCCATTTTAACACAGAATGAAGTCTAAACTTCCTGGCCTGGTGCACCTTTGACTTTTCCTTTCAGCTCCATCTTTTAGGGCTTCTGTTCACTTGCCCTGTTACCCAGACACATAGCCAGCTATCTTTTACTAAATGTAACCAAAACACTGTTCCATTCCCCAAGCATGCTATGACGATTAGCAGCACAGACTCCACTTGGGCTCACATCTTGTCTTTACCATTTACTAACCATGTTACCCTGAAAATCTAACTTAACCTCACCATGCCTCAGATTCCTCACAATAAAATGAGAATAAGAATTATCTCTGCTGGCCAGGCGCAGTGGCTCACGCCTGTAATCCCAGCACTTTGGGAGGCCGAGGCGGGCAGATCACCTGAGGTCAGGAGTTCAAGACCAGCCTGGCCAATATGGTAAGACCCCATCTCTACTAAAAATGACAGCAACTACAAAAAGTTAGCTGGGCATGGTGACGGACACCTGTAATCCCAGCTACTTGGGAGGCTAAGGGAGGAGAATCGCTTGAACCTGGGCGGCAGAGGTTGCAGTGAGCTGAGATGGCACCAGTGCACTCCATCCTGGGTGACAGAGCGAAACTCTATCTAAAAAAAATAATAATAATACTGTTTTCTTCCAGCTGTCATGAAGAGCAAAGGCAATAATTCATGTAAGGAATGTGCCTGCAAATAGTAATTATTATATAAAGTATTGGCTGCAATCATCATTACCTGTATTACTAGTTATTATTGTTATTCCTACTACTGTCTGTCAGAATTGTGTTTATATATATACATATATGTGTATCTCTGCTCAAATACATTTTCTTAAATCTCCCCAACCACAGTTAATCATAGCCATTCATTAATGCATCCATCTGTCCATTGCTTAAAAAACAATTTTAGGACTTGCTTAAATATTACTTGAATACTTATTGTGTATAAGGCATAAGACTATTCATTCTGAGGAATACAAAACATAGTCAAGCACATACTGCCCTCTAGGAACTTCGGGTCTGGTAAGAAAGATCAGAGAAATATGAAATACTCATCTATCCAGCAAATGTTTACTGAGTAACTGTAGAGGATCCAGGCACTGTATGTAGTTATGTGAATTCTGAGCTTGATATAGTAGTTAATGACTAATTCTGGTGAAAGATCATTTAAGTAAAGCACAGCTGAAGTGCTCTGGGAGTGTAGCAAAGAAATTTTACCAGCTAGGAAGGCCAGGGAGGGCTTTTTAGAGAAAATGTTGCCATCTTATAGGGGCCTTGCAGGGTGGATGGACTTGACCCATCTCTGCCTCACCGAGGAAGCATTTATGTACTGCCTTGGGCTGTGGTTGTAGGTGAACTGTAGGATTTTCATAATTGTAAGCTTGTCAAGTGCAGAGGCAGCGTTGTCTTCATTTTTGGGTGCCTAGTGTTCACTCCAGGTCCAGCATGTACTCAGTAGAGGTTGGTGAAAGGTTAGGGAGATATCTCTTCCTAAGTAGCTTAAAGGGTGATTGTAATGTGACGATTCTTAGTATCTGTGAAGCAATTGAACTTCCTAGAGAAGATATTTGTATACACTAAAGTTAAGTCTTTGGAGATGTTTATATTATTTCTTACATATTAATTGTAGCTATAATAGTCATGATGGGGTGTAATAAAGTGAATTCTGCATTGATCCATGTAGGTATTTCTTCCCATGTTTCTGTTTATTTCTGGGAAGAAACTCTTGTAGATGCCCCCATTAAAGCCTGCCCTGGTCCTAGAATTCTAGGGTGTGATTTCATGACCTTGATCATATGAGAAATCTTAGTTTTAAAAACTGCCCAACAGTTTTAATTCTGAATTTCTCCTTGTAGCAAGGAGCAAGGACCAACCCCAGTGGAGAAAAAGAAGAAAGGAAAAAGGAAAAGTGAAACTACAGTGGAGAGTTTAGAGCTGGATCAGGGCCTGACGAACCCATCTCTGCGGAGTCCTGAGGAGTCCACTGAGTCTACAGACAGCCAGGTACAGCTGTGACCGGGAGGCATGGTGGAGGTTACGGCTGCTGGACGGGATCTGGCTGACACTGATCCTGTTGCTCCTCTCTGCCTATCTTCTAGCACGCTCCCTAGCTCTGGGTTGGGCTTTTACTGTTATGGTGGGTGAGCAGATAGACTGTAGTCTTCTTCCCTAGCCCGATCAGCATACTAATAATGATAGCCCAGTTTTTTAGTGGTGTTTGCCTCATTCTTAGAAAGTAGCAGGATATTAGGCTGCAGAGGGAGTTGATATGAAAAACAAAGTTGTGAGCCAAGCTAGGTAAGGCCTGTTTTGCCATGCCGGTAACGCATTTAGTGCTTAGAGTGCAAGACCAGTCTGTACAAGGATATTTTCATAATCCCAGATGCTGAGAAAGTCAGAAATGTATCCATTATACCAACAAGGAAGGAATGTTTGGCCAAACATGGAGACAAGGAGTTGCCCATCTAAACCAGATTCCTAGAAATATGCCAAAGTGTGCCCATGACAGTGTTAGGGAGTTTCTGAGTTGAGAACCTCTCCTGAGCATGAAGTCTAATATTTGAAAGTACTCTGTTTCCTCTGATATTCATAGCAATTTATCTGAGCCACACTGCTGGAAGGCTCATTTAGAATAAGACTGACGTACTCTACCTTCCAGGATCATCTGGACCATCATGGGTTTCTCAATGCTCTTCTCTGTAGGGAGATGACAGCTAGTAATGTCATAGTATTAATAAGCAGCAGTGTCTGTTGTCAGAGCACAGATCTCCTCACTGCCTATAAACTGGGACTGGTGGCTATTAAGCATCTAGATTGGCAGAGGAGCCAAGCACATTGAGTTGATGGGATTTGGCAGGGAATTAGGTGCTTGTAGAATGATGATCTGTATGTGGTGTTGGGGAGAGGTTTTTATGTGGAAGCCCTCATATAAAGTAAAACATCATAGAGGTGACTTAGTGAAGAAGTGATAAGAACACGGAGAGATACTGAAGAGGTAGCTTTTTGAAGAAAAGAGAGGTAGGATTTTGCTTTTGCTTTTGCTGTTTAAGGTTTAAGTATTTGAGAATGAGCTGGCTGGTAAATGGTTTCCTGAAGTGATTCTACTGTTGAAATATGATGAGTCTGTAGAGATGAACTGTATGCTGCTCTGTTTGTGGAAAACCACTGGGCTGTTTTGTTGTTGAATATTAAAAGGTACAGGCTTCTTAATTAGAGATGAATCCCTAGATCATCACAATCAAGGTGACTCAGGAACCTTGTTTTGTCACATTTAAAATATCTCCCTGCCTTTCAAGAAGCATTATGAGATTCTCAAAATAAGTCCAAAACATTGATATTAATTAGTTTTCAAACTACATTTTTAGAAGTACATGGTAAGGATAGTGAATTCGAGCAAAAATAATAAAAAAAAACTGTCATGTCATAGAATCTGTGCTTCTAGCAAATGCTGGAAGGGACCCCAAAGGTGATAGCTCCCATCCTTGTTTTATTGGAGAAGAAGTGGATTCTGAAAGGGGGGAAAGTCACTACCATTGATGAACAGAACACATCTTACTGGACTGTGAGACACTACCCCTTCTTTTTAGTGGATTGTGGCAATTCAGAGTTCGAGCTTTTGTTCCGTCCCCCACTCAGCTAGATCCCGTTTTGACTGAATTTAGTCCTTAAAAGAGTTGTGTTTAAGAAAGATTTCTTTGGTAAGGCAAGAAAGCACTCCTTGGCATGTTGGTAAATGTAGCTGAGGGTATTCTTGTGTAGGCTGTTGTCTTTGACTCAGAGTTTCTCTGACGGGTGTGTTTGCCTTACAGAAACGACGCTCCGGAAGGCAAGTAAAGCGCAGAAAATACAATGAGGACCTGGACTTCAAAGTGGTGGATGATGATGGGGAAACAATCGCTGTCCTTGGAGCTGGTCGAACATCTGCACTCTCAGCCTCTACACTGGCCTGGCAGGCGGAGGTATGGCCTTTGCCTGAGGGTACTGACCTTTGGCCTAGGTGACAGAATTGTTCCCTGGCTCTTTGCTAAACCCTAAGTCAGATCATTTTAACTGCTGCTTGTTGCCTTCGAATGACTTTCTGTTGTACTTGGAATAACATTCAGACTCCTCACTGTGCTCAGCAGGACCCTCTGTGATCACACTCTCGCCTTGTTTCACCAAATTCATTTTTTTAGATAAACAATTTTTCCCTGTCTCATTACTCTCCAGCCAAAAGACTGGGTGTCTTTTAATGCATTATTCTAACAGTTCTTTTCCATCTGTAGACCTTTATCTCTGTTGTTCTGCTTGGGATGCTTTACGTGACTGGCTTATCAGTTTTACCTAAAATATCTCCTTAGAGGGGTCCTTCCTGACTCTTTATCTAAAGTAGATTCCTGTCCCTCATTCCAATGATGTTCTATTTCAGCACCTTCTGTATTTCCTTAAAGCACTTACCACAACTTGTAATTGCATTTGAATGTGTCTGATCTCTGATTTTGTTTTATTTGTCTCTCATTAAAATGTAAAAGTCTTGGCCGGGCCTGGTGGCTCACACCTGTAATCTCAGCACTTTGGGAGTCCTAGGCAGGTGGATCACTTGAGGCCAGGAGTTCGAGATCAACGTGGGCAACATGGCAAAACGCCATCTCTACACAAAAATACAAAAATTAGCTGGGCCTGGTGGTGCAGGCCTATAATCCCAGCTACTTGGGAGATTGAGGCACAAGAATCACTTGAACCTAGGAGGCAGAGAGGTTGCAATGAGCCAAGATCACATCATTACACTCTAGCCTGGGTGACAGAGCAAGACTCTGTCTCAAAAAAAAAAAAAAAAAAAAAGAATGTAAAAGTCTTTTGTATAATAAATAGCTGTTAACTGGATGAGATCAGATGAACTAGTAATTACAGTTGGAACTTGGAACTCTAATCCAGTAAATGTGTATTGCAAGTCTAGAAGTATATGCTGAGTGCAGAGGCTACCCAGAAGCAGGAGTAGACTGGAAAGGAGTGGTCGGATGTATAGGAAGACAAGGACTCAGGAGGAACATTTCCAACATGAACTTTATAAAGCCCCAGAAACTGAATGGCATCACAGGCTGTGATACGACAGATGGATAATCTCGGCTGGATGCTAGGGTGTAGTTTGAGGGGTGGTGAGAGAGGAGGGCTGAGAGGTAGGAGCAGTCACAGTATGAAGGGCCTTGAATGTCACCTAAGGTATTTAATTTTTATCCTGTAGATTGGACAAGGAATAGGTGGCAATGATGAGTTCAAACAGAAGAGTGGGACCGCTATATCTGCATTTTAGCACTTTGCATTGGCAGCAGTGTCAAGGACGAAGATGATAATATTAGCACTTGATACAGAGGTACTACAAAGGAGAGAAGGGCTAAATGTTGAAATCGAAGAGGCCTGTGCCAAGGAACTTATAGAGAAGACATGAAAAGCAAGAGAAGAAGCAGGCTGTGCATGTAGGAGGGGCATTATTGCCAAGAACAAATTCTGGGACACGGGCTGTCTGTTGTTATGGAGTCACTGTTGCTGACTTGGCAGAATTCACTCTGTGGAGCGGCAACAGCACAAATACCTGTCATTCCTCCTGAATGCTAGTGTTTCATATGGTAGCTGATAATACTTTATCTTCCTCGACCACCTTGTCTCTAACTTAAAGCATTTTCATATAATTCCACATATTCTTTCACTCTTTGTTTGCATGGAAAGTAGCGGGGAGCAGGTACTATTGTCCCTATTTTAACAATGAAGAAACTGAAGCCCAGAACGATCCAGGTCAGAGTTACATAGCAGCAGTTAATCAGTGACTAGCAGATAAGAGTTGATTTCACATCTCTGCTAAGGGTTATCCAACTAATGAATATAATACTTAGTGGGAATAATAATATGATGTATTGTCACTATAATACTTTTCAAGCAAATATTAATAGTTAAAAACAACACTTGCAAGACTGCCATGAGGTGATAGAATTGTATTGCTTTGTAATGGGGTTTTCATTCCTTGGGGATGTTATGGTTGGTTTGGTAGTTAAAATACTATAAGGGATTTTATTTTCTTCTAGTAGCCGTTTAGCCTAAGCCATTAACCATATTTCAGATGTTGTTATGACTTCTCCCCTGGCACCTGAAGGGCAGTAGTAGCTGATTTAACTAACAGAAATAATTCAGGAAATGGTATGTATCTTATTAAGGCCCTTTTTTTTCTTCTTAGCAAAGAGAGGGTTTATATATGGAGAAACACAAATTAGAATCTGAATTCTATCTCAAAAAAATTTACCAAATTTAAGGAAGAAAGAGGCCTGATTCATGGTTTTGGCTTTGACATTCGAAGAAGCGACCGTGTGGGCCTGGCCTCCGAGCCAAGGCTGGGCCTAGCTTGCAGGGCAGGCCACATAGCCAGTGAGGGGACTGGAGAGATCAGCTTACCGAGTGATGTTCAAAATCAGTGCTCTGTAGAGTCCTAGTTGCTGCAGAACCAAAACAGCTCCACTTGCTACTGTTTTTACATACTGGCCTTCCTGAGGAAGTTTGAACAAAGATTTCCAAGACTAATGAAAAGCCTGCAAGGCTTGGGTCTCATCTAGGAATCCAGGCAATCTCAAGGTGCATCTAGTGGCACAGAAAATCATTGAAGAAGATGAGGCTTTTTCTTATATCCTTCTCTCAGAAGGATAAGTGCCCTCTGGGTAGGTATCTGCCTGCCTACTGGCACCAGAATAGCCCCACTGACATCTCTCTGCAGATCTGTGCATGTCTTCTTAGCATGCTCAGCCCACTTCTATGACTGCTGGCCCTTGTCCCAGCCCCTGATCACAACCTCAGCACTGGTTACCAAGTGGTGAGTTGCTACAACATCTTTACACACGATTCGCTTTAGTTCAGGACTGGCATATCATCACTGCTCTGCTTTGGACTCCATAGCACAATCCTGAGCATGGGATTCAGGAGCGGGAGATAAGTTTCCATCCTAACTGTGACTCTTTGCTTTCTTATTCTTTGTCAAATTGATTTTGGTGTCTGGAACACAAACAGACTTTTTAGAGTTCTGCAGTGCATTTACAATGTATAGACTGTTTACAAGGCTGTCTCAGTTTTTGCATCCTGCAGTTTGGGTGGTTTGTGTGATTTTGCCTTTTGGAACAGAAGGACTTGAATTTGAAATAAGGCTTTGGCTCATAGTTCTCTCTGGTGCTGTGCTCTGTGTCTTTGCATACAACGCACTCTTCTTTGTTGGGCCTTTTCCTGTGTCTGGCAGGCTGAGCTCAGTTGTTTCCTCCTCCAGAAAGTTCCTTGCTCCTCTGAACTGGAAATAGGTGCCCCTCCCCTTTGCTCTTAGAGCACTCAAATATGTTTAACTGTCATTGTCCTTCTAACACCTGCCAAATTTTTTGTTTCCTTCTTCTAAACCATGAGTTATGTTATTGTAGGATTCGTATGTTTTTTGTCCTATGTGCCTCTCAGATAGGAGAATTTCAATAAACTAAAATGCACATTTACTCCCAGGAACTATTCAGATGAAGTGGCACTTTCCATCTTCTGTTTTATAATGTTTTTCACTATTGTAATGATTATTCCCAAAGTCTAAAGTCAGCGGAGACCCTTGCACCACTTATTCATAGCCTGCGACGGTCCTGGTTTTCGGTGCCTCTGCCGTACTGTTGTGATGATCAGTCCTGATTGTTCCTCTAATCAGATTGCAGAGTTTTGCAAAAATAGGCATCACTTTTTAATTTATTGTATTTTCACTTAGCATGGGTAGAACTTTGTTTGTATTTGTTAGTAGCCAATATAAAGATGTACTTAGTTGAACTTATCAAATATTTATTCAGTAAGTGAATAAATGTGTTGAAAACTCATTTGTGTAAACAGGTGTGATTTGTTTAAACCTCTGTATTAGAAAGGAAAAAAAGAGATTTTCCTTCTTTCCCAGGCTCTTGTTTCCTCCATTTCCTTATACTGGCATTTTTTCCTAACTGGTATTCATCTCTTTCTCACTTAAACCCTCAGACAGACCTCCTTTCTGAGGCTCCTTGCTGCTATTTGGCATTGCTGTAGCTTTGTGCCAGGGTGTGTGGCTCGGTGCAGAAGTGTTAGCTGGGGTCCTTCATCATGAGGCTCCTGTCAGCTCAGCCTGAGTGGATAATTTCCTGAGTCTTCCCATTTCTTCACTGGGTACAACCACCAATTCCCATGCTGTTTTCTTAAGGTTGTTTCCTGTATTTGTTCCCTCTTGATTTCTGCTGCCACCCCCGTGCTGAGGCCAGTGTACAGTTTACTGCAGCACACACTTTTGTCGTTTCCCTGCTACAAGTCTCTGCTCTCCCCAGTCTGATACCAGACCAACTTTCCCAAAATACCGGGGCAATTGCCAGTATTTCTTAGTCTCCTGCTCGCGAAATCCAAGATGGTTACTTTTTCACTCCATATTAGATCAAAACTGTCTTTTTTTTTTTTTTTTTTTTTTTTTTTTTTTTAAGTTGTGGCCACACACTACCTGTTTACTCTCATTTCTTCCTATTCCTCATTTTGTGTAATGCTTTCACTCTAGTAAGGCAGGTTACTTAGCATTCTAGGTATGCATCATACATCCCGTACTATTGTTCTTTCATCTCTGGTTTCAGCTTACCTTTCTCTTTGCTGTCTTCTTTTATGAGCCACTGTTCTTTAGGGCCCTACTAAAACCTCACCTATTATGTGAAATCCATGCTGTTTTCACTTTCTGAACTCTCATTGGACTGCAGTTACTGTTAAACCAATTAGCATTTACCCTGGGATATTTTTCAGACAGTTATGTTTATTTCATCTTCCCTGAATGAGTGTAATCCCCTTGAGACTGGGCATCAAGCTTGATACTAGTTTTGTATATTTCATGGCACTTGGTGTAAATACTGTGGTTTGAAACGTGATTTGCTTCTTCTTAGCCTCCCTCCTTATGATTAGCTAAATAGAAGTAAAAGAGGTAGTT